ACGTGCGCGATTAATTATGCCGTTAATTTACTTATACAATTACATTCTTTTATGTATATATAATATTATTGTAACTATGTATACGTATGTATGTATATAGATATATCTTCTATACATTATATAATTCATTTATATGTATATGTATATATATATAACTCTGGGTACAAATAATGTTTTACAAAAATATTAATTTGGGAAGGCAAACTTTCAATTATAAACCGCTTACTCTTGAATACTCACGAATGTAACAATAACACGGCTGATTTATCTACAAACACAACTCGGAAGGAAATTCGTCTTCCTCGAATATTGAAAATCAACTCTCGGTTTTTTTTCTCTTTTCTTTCTTTCTTTTTTTTTTTTTCTTTTCATTCATCAATTCTTCGTTACTGAAAAATCCTCACGATCCCGGAACAATCGTCATCGAAATTACCGAGAAGTTACTCATTTACGTACGCGATTCTCGCCGCGAACACGTCGTCGAAACAAGACAGGACAACCTGTTGTTCGGTTCGCCGTGGAACATTATCAATCGCATCGATCGTCGAGACGTTGTATCTTTGGTAGGTTTTACTCTTTGAAAAAATACACTCGGGGCGCACGGAATTTGCAGTTGCACGACGACGTGATACTTGCGAGATTTTCTCTTAGATCAACGTGAAATATACTCCCGGTGGCAGCGAGTATTGTTCAAGTAAATTTGCAGTGTGACAATAAGTATTTGTTCAGTATCGTTTCTGATGATGACGTTTCAGTGTTTTATTTTAGTTTAGTCGAAGCATTCTTTCGTCGCTGTAAATAGAATAAAAAAAATTTTGCAATGACGTATATTTGCAGTGAAAATTTTTGCAAAGAAGTATATTTAAAATATATGTTTAAAGTAGTAAAAGAGTGGAAATTTTGGTATATAATATACCAAAAAGTATATATATATAGCTTTGTAGTAAATTGCAAATCATTCGCAGTAGAGACACCCACTGGTAGTAAAAAAACTTCACAGTCAAAAATTCCATTTCCAACAAAAATTTCGCGTTGATCCAGAGAAATCCGCGAAGTTTCACTGAAATTCCTTGCTCGCCGCGTGATCGTCTTGATTCGTATACGTGTCACAGAAAATGGCGTACAACCGAAAGTATATAACGGGGGGTTCAACAGAATCTTTCGGTTTAATCTCGTGCACTCGTAACCCAGTAATCCTGCGTACACATTTTCTAGTCGTAGAGACACAACCTCGAAGCAAATGCTCCTCGGCGTGTGTCTGATCAAGCGGCAATCGGTACCTATTCTTATACACATATCTTCGAGTTT